ATTTAGCATTCTCTCACTAGAGCTTGCAAAGGTGCTATTGCTAATCAATCACAAACACAAAAGGATTAGAGGCTCCATGTTGAGCTGGGTTTTGATTACAATAAGGAGCCCACCTGGGTTGCAGGGGAATAGTTGAGTTACCCCTCTCCTAGGCTATAGGCCATCAACCTCTAATCCAGGTGGCATTACTCTTCAAAATGGTTTTACCATGTGGCAATTAAGAGCTTCCATCTGTGCTATTGCAAAAGCAGAAGTTATCCCATAAGTGCAGACTGATTCAGCAAGTGCTTTAATCGTTTTAAAATCAATAGGCTCATGATAGCGTTGCCCTGCATTATCCTGAAAAACTGGATACCATAACTCATGTCTCACTTCCTTCTATACCTCCAGGCAGAATGCCTGCCCTCCAGAACCCTTAAATATGCGCTCACTGCCCAATCAGCACATGCCACCTGGCGATCCGGGATAGGCCACAGAAGGAGGAAGTGCACCAGATCCATCAAGCACTTCCAAATAAGGCTTGTTTACAGCTAAGCTCCGGACTACCTGAAATCCAGCCAGGCACCATCTTGGGGCTGTAGCTTCCCACAGTCTCTATGTGGCAAACTTGTACAGACATTTTGGAGATCAGTATAGTGGTTCCTTAGGAAAATTGGAATCAGACTACCATAGGACCTGGCAATTCCACTCTTAGGCATATACCCAAATGATCCACATCCATGCAACAAAGACGTCTGTTCAACTATGTTCATAGCAACATTATTTGTATAGCTATAACCTGGAAGCAACCTAGATGCCCCTCAACTGAAAAATGGATAAAGATGTGGCACATTTACACAGTGGAATACTACTCTGTGGGGGAAAAAAAATCAATGGAATCTTGAAATTTGCATGGAACTTGAAGAAGCCATCCTGCATGAGGTAACCCAGGCACAAAAAAAGGGAACATGGTATATACTCATGCATATATGGATTTTAGACATAGACAAAGGATCGTCAGCCTATAATTCACACCACCAGAGAAACTAGGATACAAGGAGGAACCTAAGAGATTCATACAAGGTCCCTCACAGAAGGGGAAAGGAACAAGATTTCCTGAGCATATTGGGATGGGGGAGAGCAGTGAGTGGAGAGGGAGCTAGGAGAAAGAGAAGGGGAGGAGAGGAGAACATGTGGGACCAGGAAGTTTGAGTTGGGGGATGAATAGACAAACAGAGAGAGAGAGAGAGAGAGAGAGAGAGAGAGAGCATAATAGAGGGAGCCATTATAGGTCTGAAGAGAAAACTAACTCTAGAAAAATGTCCAGAGTCCTACAAGGATGACCCCAACTAACTATCTAAGTAACAGTGAAAAAACATTAAATGTCCTTCCCTGATAATGAGATTGATAACTAATTTATATGCCATCATAGAGCCCTTAACTAGTAGCTGATGGAAACAGAAGCAGACATTCACAGCTAAACACTGAGCCAAACTCCTGGAATCCAGTTGCAGAGAGGGAGGAGTGATAAGAAAAGGGGTCAAGACCAAGCTTCCAAAACCTACAAAGATCTGGAGACTTTCTAATAATCTTGTTCTGTCTTTGCAATCATCTGCAAAATCTCTCCTAGACTGTGTTCTTTGCTATTGAGATCTCTTTGATCCATGGGCCTTAAGAAAGAAACACCTGATTTTTTTTCATTTAATTTTAATCTATGCTAAAAACAATTTTAAATTAAATGTTTATTAATTCTTTGAGAATTTAATACAATTTTATTCATATTCACCCTCCATCCTCAACTCCTCTCAGATCCACCCTACATTCCTACCTCACCAACCTTGTGTACATCCTCTCTTTCCTCCTATTCCTTTTCATCCTCCTCTTCCTCCTCTTCTCCTCCTCCTTCTTCTTTTGTACTCTCTATCTCTCTCCCTGTTGTCTCTAACTCTCCTCCCTCTTTCTCATAAAGTATGGTTTGTGTTGGAAACTACTCTTGGAGGTGGAGCCCACCTTTCTACGTGGTCCATACACCGAGGACGGCACCATTAAAGAAAACTAACTCTCCTCCTGGCAGTTATCAAATACCAATTTCTTTCAGGTAGGGATGGGAATTCATGTCTTTTTTCTCTATGAGAATGTTGTCTGTACTGAGCTTTCACAGGTCTTGTGCACATTGCCTTAATTTCTGTGAGTTCCTATATGTATCTGCCTAGTTTACTCATAAAACACTGTGTCCTTGAAGTCATCCACTACTTGTGGCTCTCACAGTCCTTCCATTCTTGTTTCTGTGAAGAGTAATGCATCTTAATAGAAGGGTTAGCATATAGACATCCTATTATGACTGAGAATTTAGAAGTCTTTCATTCTCCACACATAGACCAGCTATACGTCTCAATGTTACTCACCATCTACTATAAAAAGAAACTTCTTTAAATGAGGGTTGTGTGATGTCCTGATTTATTGATATAGCAACATGTCATTAAGAGCCACTATAAGGCTCACTCTACTTAGCTGAATAGTACTAGGTTGTCTCTAGGTTCTATAGCCCATCTAGTCATATGTTCTTGACCTCATTGACAGTTCCAGGTATGAGTTCCATCTTCTTTAAATGCAATCAGAACTAATGGGTTTATCTTACAATAAACTGTTCTACACATGAGTTTTACCTAAATAAAAAAAAAAACAGAAAATAAAATGCAGTCCCTGGTGGGAAATACCCCAAGAATATACAGAAACCAATAGTGTAGAAAGTCTCCATAGCTGTGAGCAGATACTGGCATGGGTCAAAGATTAGATGGATTGGTTTATTGATGAATAAATCTTAAGTACCTGTTGCAGGGCCCTGAGTTACTATACTACTTTAAAAAATTTTTTCCCAAGTGTTGAAAAAAAAAGAAAAAGTAAAAGAAAAACCATTTGCAGAGCTTGCACTTGGAGCAACAGGTTTAGTAGCTAGAGCAATCATGACACTATCATTGACAACAGTGTATTGTTCTCTGATGGTTGGGGCTGAGAAAAAGATAGAGGAGTATGGACAGATGAGAAAGCAAAAGAAAACTTCTTGATATGATAACTTCTTTTCCCAGAAGAAAACTTGAGTTGATCTGGTGGGAAGGCAAGGGGTCGGGTACATTAACAGGATTAATAGTGGAAAGAAGAAGAAGCATAGGCCCAATAACTCCCTAGCCAAAGCCCAGTTAGCTAATTAGTCCTAATTACCCTCCCTTTCCAGTGGATAAAGCTTATACTTTTGCTTTCTCCACAGCTCCACTTTTTGTCTTCCTAGGATGTTCTATTTTCTGTCTCAGGAATGGAGCACAGTACCCACTAGGTGATCACCAGCTTCCCTGCCACAGCTGTTTGTTACTGGTGTATGGAGAATTCCAAGCACTTCTAGTATTATCTTACTGAAGAAATAGCTGACCAAATAAAATCTATGCTAAAGATCCAGCTTAGTCCCAAAATAATGGCTATCATCGAAAAACCCAAAAGGTTATGATGTTGTGGACATGATGAGAAATGAACTCTTGTATGTAGTTGATCAGAATATAAATTAGTGAAACCATTATGGAATTTAGTGTGATGTTTCTTGTCTAAAACTCCCCTACAAATACAAATTGCTTTACCACTCCTAGCTGTGCATCTGAAGGAATCAAACTAAGTTCACAATAAGGATATATGCTCACCATGCTGTTTTGATACCGTTCATATTAACCAAATTATGGAATTACTCAGTTGACCACCAATGATTACAAATGAGTGAATATTAGTAACATACCTTATACTTGTGTATTTCAATGTTACAATAAGTAGAATATTTTGTATAAATATGACTACTAATAAAAAATAGGGACTGGAGAGATGGTTTAACCAGTGAAGTTCCTGTCTCACCAGAATGAAGAACTGTGTCCTGATACCCTGAACACATATACTATCCATTACTGGACCCACATATGTAGCCCTAGCACTGGTGAGACATGCCAGTATAGTTTGTGGAGTTCATTGACAAGGCAGCCTGTGATGATGAGCTCTAGCTTCAGAAAGACCCAGAGGCAATTTCTCAAGTTTGTGTCTGTGTATGAGAGAGGGTAGGCAGGGAAGAAGAGAAGGACTTGTTGAAATAGCAGTGAAATCTAGGACAGTTCTTTTTCTAATTGATTGATCAGGGTTTCCTTTTAAAAGCCTTAATAAAACAAAGTGAAGAGTAATCAAAGACAATGACAACACCTGATGTTGACCTCTAACCTATCCACATGTACCTCATGATTACACATACACTGATGTCTTCATCCATACCACCCCCACAAACACAAACACACATAAAATGTACAAAAATAAATGAATGAATTAATAGACAAATACATACATAAAATGTAGCTAGGCTATGGGCTGGTGTTATATGTATTGAGCCTCTTTTAAAGCTATTTTGTTTTAAACAGATATTTGTAAGTATATAAAAATTAATATTGATGGTGAAGAAACAATACAAGGTTCCATGAGTTGACACTGAGAAGAGATAAAGAACATAAAGTATTATCTGATTGTGAGAATTTCTTTAGAAGAAATATTACAAAAACGACTAGTGAAATAACTTATTTGCTGAAAATAAGCTGTCATTTGGTGGAAAATGTATGTGTAAGTACGCTCATGCATAAACTTGAACAAATGTCTTAAACTCCTCATCTACAACACTATTCCTTGTTTTAATCGTCTACATAGGAAGAGTAATGGCTTAAAATATTTGACACTAAGGTGAATCCACATGATGGCAGTGTCTTCTCAGAGATTCAGAGGCAATTTTTCCCATAGTCCTTTGTGCCTGTGTGAGTTGTGAGGGAGGTTAGAGAAAGAAGGAGGGCTTTTTGTGTGTCAGTGAAAACTATGACCTTCTTTCTAATTGGATGAACAGTTTGGGGTTTTTCTTTTTTTCCTGCATTCCACATCAGAAGCATTTGAACTCCCTAATGCCAGTCTGTTTGTTATAGATCACTTCAACTTGTGAATCTTCATTGAAAACAGTAATGCATCCCTTAAGTGTTTCAATAGTGGTACTCTGGCTTCAACTGAAGGGTGAGTTTGACCATTTCTATGGGAACTTAATGTTGCTGTATGCTAGGGAATTGAGTTCACATATTTTAGGAGGGAGGGTAGAAATAATAATGTTCTCATGCTGAAACAAAGCAGGTGGGAGGCCCACGGCAAAGCCGTTCTGGGGAGTTAGCATTTATATGCATCCAGTCTTGTTTGTCTGACCTTTGTCTTTCTGCACAGGTGTGAGCAGCCAGCAGAAGGTGCAGCAGACTCCGGAATCCCTCAGTGTCCCAGAGGGAGCCATGGCTTCCCTCAACTGCACTTACAGTGATCAGAATTCTCAGTATTTCTGGTGGTACAGACAGCATCCAGGGAAAGGCCCCAAGGCTCTGATGTCCATCTTCTCCAATGGTGAAAAGGAAGATGGTAGATTTAGGGTTCATCTCAATAAAGCCAGCCTGCATGTTTCCCTGCACATCAGAGACTCGCAGCACAGTGACTCAGCTGTCTACCTGTGTGCAGTGAACACACAGTGCTCCCCAGGCACCTGCACCCTGTACCCAAACCTATTGGGTGCTGCCAAGTCCTTAGAGCACAGACCACAGGCAATGGAAAATAAGAGCAAGGGTAGAGAGCATTTGATTGGTTGAGAAAATATTTTGGCATTTTGAAAATAACCAGTCCTAAAGAGAAAAGCACACTATTGTTTTGTCTGGAATTTTCCCACTCTTCTTTTGGGATGATGGTTTTACAACAATGTACACTGATGTACAATGATGTGCCTATGTTGTTCAGCTGGATGGCATACAAATGGCTGAGGGACTCACCTCATGCCATGTCATAAAGACCACCATCATGTCTACAGGACTCTGACTTGCTTGCTTTTAAAATCTTTCCATTAAAAAAAATTGTTGTTTTTGAATCTTTAAAAAGTTGATTACAATGTAGCTGGTTTCTCTAAAGCAATTTCATGCACATTTATTTTTGGTTGACACTTCCCCAGGCTTATTCCCTCCCCCATTTCCCTATTCCACATTCTAAAGGAAACTTCCTTTCCCACACCCCCAGAATCCCCATCCAATTCCAGTTCATGTGCTCTATTGCCTTCCCACTCATCCTTCTTAATGATTTTTTCCCTCTCTTGGGAAGCTGACCAGCTTCCTGACATCTGCATACATTTGTAGTCAGATGATACATACAGATAAAAATTACAAGCTAAGATTTACATGTGTTTGTCTCACACTATATTATTTTCCAACTGCATCCATTTTTTATGCAAATTCTATCCTTTCATTTTTCTTTATAGATGAATAGTATTCATATATATGCATATAATATTGACTTTTTGGATGACCTTTGCAGATCTTGTCTGTTGGTTCTGGTATCTCAGAACCTGAACCAATTGGACAGATTCCAGTCTAATGCTGATGACAATCTTACAGCAGTTTGAGTGTATTTTTATACACAAATGTGACAAGGAAAGCAATGATCCAAAGAAGGCTGTTTGGGTTCAGCAAAACATGAGAAGAAAAACATGTAAATAAATGCCAATAATCATATATTAAGTAGTAAGATAGCAGCCTCTTCCTAGAACTTTCTGAGGACAGACCAATTTAAACACAAATTCTTGTCATGTTGTGTAGATTATATGTGGGAAACTTTAAAAGCAAGGCAAAAGGCATATCCATATTCAGATTACCCTGAAAATTGTGTTCAATAGCTATGATCTGACATCTGTTTTAAAACTATAAGACCTAAGTATGTCTTATAAATTAAATATAAATGCTTCACACAGAGGGCAGGAAATCATGTCCAAGATCAGTCCTGTGAACAAAATGCACCTGAGGTAAAGGCCCTCTGCCTTTTTCCCTGCAGCCCCTCACAGTTCCCCTAAGCAGTGTTCACAAGGCATCATTCATTTGACTCTGTTCCAAATATACAATATAAAATCTCTACCAAAATCTCATTATCCATTCTTTTGCTGAAGACCATCTAGGCTGGATTCATTTCCTAGAAATTGTGAATAGAGTACCAATAAACATGGTTAATCAAGTGTTTCTATATTATGAATTTGTTCTTCACATAAACATGCAGAAATTACATAGCTGGACCCTACAACACTTCCTCTTTCAGATTTCTGAGGATGCTTCACACTGATTTCTATAGTTGTTACATCAGTGTGTGCTTTCACCCATGGTGAATGAAGTCTCCTATTTACCAACATCTTCACCAGCATTTGATAGAACTTGATTACTTGATGATAGATATTCTGAATGGGTGAGATGAAGTATCAAATTATTTTAACATCCATTTCAATGATGACTAAGACTATTTCAATTATTGGCTATTTGTATTTCTACATTTTAGAATTCTCTGTTCATTTCCATGGCTCATTTTTAGGAATTTATTGTTTAATGGTTCAAACCTCTGTCATATGAGTAGCTAACAATATTTTCTTTCATTTGTAGTTTGTCTCTTGGCTCAGTTAACTGCTCATTTGTTGCCTTCCTATATTTATGTTCATTAATTTATTTTTGAGACAGGATTTTATTTGGGAGGCTAAACTGGCCTAACCTTCATGATCTTCCTGCTTCATCATCCCACGTTTCTCTCTTCTGTGAATGTTAACTTTGAATCTTCAGATATGAGTGTTCCAGTTGGAATGTTGACAGTGTTCTGGAAATTAGAGACGATGATCAGAGTTGAACATAGCTGTAAAAGGTGAATAATGGAGGAGTGGTTGAATAGGATGTAAGATTAAAGGGCAGGTATTGAAGAGGCAGAGGGAGAGATAACTAACATTAGAGATCTTTAAAAAAAAGTTATATTGAAACTGCTACTGCAGAAGCTTCCAAAGATATAAACATGTCTATCTACCTGCATCTATAACTATCATCTATCTATCTATCAATCTATCTATCTATCTATCTATCTATCTATCTATCTATCTATGTATTATCTACATCTATTCCTCTCTTCTCTCTCTCTTTATGTATGTGTAATATGTGTATATACATACATACATACATACTGATCTACTATAGGATTACATGGTGTAACAAAAAGCACAGTGTCTGGAATGGGTTATCTCTTTGGGGTTGTTGGTCACTGAATTTTCATGTGATTCCAAACAGGCCATTGCCAATGTTCTTGGTTACTCTCAAGAACTGACAGTAAGATGCTGTTGCTGAAGTCCCCACATACTTGAGTCACAGATCACAGAGAAATCAAAATGCTTATGGACCTGAAGGCTTCATTCCTACTGGCTATATTTACAGTGCTGGAAGGTTTATTTATGCTTCCAGAAGAGAAATTGAATCATCAGTCATACCTATCAACAGACTTGTAAAATATAAAACCACTCACGTAGGAACGTGTGTCCACTAGTGCAGTAGTGACACAAACATCCTTGGAGACATCAAACATTAGATTAGTAGATTAGAGACCCATTTCACAACTAGAAACACATACTAGGTATCAATATCAGATTCAAAGACCTGTGGCTAGACAGCGAGTAGCCTTAAGGAGAACCTACTCCAATCACTCTGATTAATGGGCATAACATTTGTCTTAATTAGGGTTCCAAGGGGGGTTCTTTGGCCAACAACCCAAATACATCTACCCCAATCATGGTACTGGAAGCTTAATTTGGTGACAAGAGATGGCCAGTTGGGACTCTGTCTTCTCCATTATTTGGCAATTTCATTAGCATATCCTGCATGCATGTATATATTTTAGGACTTTTATACTGTATTAGCCTTCCATGCAAACATTCCAATATCCCTTAATTTTATTTACCTCTTCCTGTATTCCCTCACACAACCCTTCTCTTTTTCTCAAGAAAAAGCCTACATTCCATCCATGGTTATATATTCTATTTTCAGTTCTTATTAAGACCTATCTGTTTCCTCTACTCCGTTATACTTCACCATTCTTCTGTAGTTCTATAGAGTGTAGCTTGGTTGTCATAGACTTCACAATGACTATCATATAAGCAGAATACGTTTTTTGTAGTTCCATCCATTTGTCAGCAATTTTCATTATGCCATTTTCTTCAAAACTGGGTAATAATCCATTGTATGAATGCACATTTTCTTTATCTATTCTTCTGTGTTGCTTTTAATATCTGACAATACTACTATGAATAGAACAGCAATGAACATGGATTAACAAGTACCTCTATAGTAGATGGAAAATTGTTTGAGTATATGCCCAAGAGTGGTATAGCTTGATCTTAAGAAGGTTGGTTTCAATCTTCCTGAGGAACTGCCACTGATGCCATGGCTCTATTCTCAGGAGGAAGTGTTATTGGTTGCCATAAATTACATTTCCATTTCATGCATAGCTCTGCCTATGTTCTTGCTTTGGTTGTGGTTCAGAGTCTCTGGTTGGTCTTCATAGTTGTTCTCAAGATGCTGATGGTTATGACAATCCATAAATACAGAAGGTAAAATAAAAGTATAGATCAGAGCTTACTTCATTTCTTGATTGTCAAAATTCCAAGTATATAGAAAAAGAAAATAAACAGTTGCAAGTAAGAAAGAAGGACTGAACTTCAACCATGATTAGTCTATATAGAAAATAATCCTTTAAAGTTAAAGGACATAAAGACATATCCCAAGGGCAGTGAAGACTATCTGAGATATCCAAATCAGCATTAAAGAAGATTGTAAATGAATATTGCATGCAAGTAAGGATGCCGGAATAATCGTGAGATCTCTGAAAACAATATATCGATTACCAACAATAAGCATATTCTTAGTATACCAATAAACTCCTGAGATAAACAAAGGATGAAGAACAAAAGTAACAAAAGGAACCAGAGCAGAAAAGAATGAGTAATGGGAGCTCTAGCACCTGGAACTGACCTGGGACCCCTTAGCCACATCCTGGGAAGCCAACCAAAGAGACTGGGGAACTGCTCTATCCCCTCATGGATTCAAACAATACTGTCTACCATCCTTATACATTCACTGCCATCCTTTCCTCACACAGACCTCCCTTTCCTAAAGGAAAGTGTCTGTCCTTCCTGTGGAGACCAGGCTCCAGTCTCTTTTTCTGCCTTCTGTTTCCCTATGCTGCTGAAGAAATCTAACAAGAGTTTAATAAGGGCAGAGAACAAAAAACATTGTATTTACAGCTGTGTACACTCCTCATCCTTGCAGACCATGCTCTCTTAGCCAGATGATGGGGCCACCAGCAGATGTCATGGTTCCCCTTCCTCACACTCCTGGGTTTGAATTCACAGAATGGGGGAGGGGAGTGGAGGTGATGTGGTTGGCAAGAGAAGAAGAGAGGGGGTGGGGAGGGAGGTGTTTGAGCTTGCTTCTGCGGTTCTTCAAGGCAGATGCTCAGAAACCAAATAATTGTGTCTGGCCCAAAGCTGCATCTCTTGTGATCTGCTCTTCATTGGGAGGAATGGACAGACTTCTTGGCATGTTGATAGTGACACTATTTCTGCAACTGACAGGTGAGTTTGTGTTTCTGGTGAGGGTAACAGAGACAGCAAAGTCCACATACATGTGAGATGCAGTTTGAAAATGTAAACACTGACTCCTGTTCTCTGGCATGTGTTTCTATGCAGGAGTAAACAGCCAGCTAGAAGAAAAGAATCCTTGGGCCATGAACATCCAGGAGGGTAAAAATGTCAATGTGAACTGCAGTTATAAAACATCCATAACTTCCCTACAGTGGTACAGACAGGTCTTAGGCAGAGGCCCTGCCATTCTAATCTTAATACGTTCAAATGAGAAAGAGAAACAGAGTGGAAGACTAAGAGTGACCCTTAACACCTCCACCCAGAGCAGTTCCCTGTCCATCACTGCTGCCCGGCCTGAAGATACTGCTGCATACTTCTGTGCTACAGAGACACAGTGTGCAGCAGACACCTGCAGCCCTGACACAAACCCTCAGAGCTGTTTCCTAGACCTCAAGAGTGGGTGGAATGGTGCTTATGTCATTTCACAATAAGAGTCTACTGGAAATGAAAGAAAACTCTTCCAAGATTGTGATTTTTGTTTTTTTACTTTATTTTCCTAACCAGTCTTGTAAGGGAAAGATATAGGTATCAGAGTTCTGATACCCTGACATCCCAGGATGAAGAAGGTACTGACCTACACTATAGTGACACAGAACTACACTTGTTTAGTCCAGAACTTGGGAAAAGGCCAGGCAGATTCCTTCAGCTTATATCCTCTTTTACCTTTTTCTGTGGATGAAAACAGAAAGGCTTAAAGTCACAGTACTAAAAAAGGAAGACTCTCCACATAGCACTACTTCTAAGCTTGAAGACCTCTGTGCCCTCTCAGACATCTGCTCCAAGACCTAGGCTTCAGGAAATATGTAAAGGCCTCCTTGTCATTTATTCTCCATAAATCAGTAATTACCCCATATCAATGACCTCCTTCCAAGCAGTATCATGGAAATAAACCTGTGATTTATCCAAAGGACAGAGATGCCTGTCAGTCTGTTTCTCTGCCCCAAACAGTTGCCTGTTCACTGACATAGGTCTACAGAGCTTCCCTTACATGAATCTCAAAGGCACAGCTGGGCAGGGAGCATCAGGATTCTAGTATTGGGTGTTATGGAAAGAGTCTGCATAGGTGCACACACTTTTCTGAAATAGTATCATTTTCATAAAAATATAGCCATGTCTTGATGTCTTCTAACATAGTCCTATTTTAGACCAAGATGGTCATGTGTTTGCTGTCCATGTCTTCCTCAAATTGTGAGAAAAAATTCTATGTAATTAGTACCTTTATGTTATCAATCTATCTGGACATCATTAATATTAATTCAATTTAAGACCAGTGTCCTTCAGTTTAACAATGTCAGGGGATGCTGTCAGAGCACATAATTTCTTCATATTTTGGCGTTTTCCTTTCTACCTTGTAAACCTTACGTTTTTACTAGAAAGCACACATGTTTCTAAAACAAAGCAGTGCTGTGCTGTTAGCTCCAGCCCTTGACACCCCTTCCCCAGACTTCCTCGATGAGGGGTACTGCTTACCATCAGGATGTTAATGTTTCTGTTACTCACCTTGGGGTTTTAAAGACAGAAAATATAAGCACAGAGCTCATGAAAATATAAGCTTGTTAATGTCCAAGCAGTCCCATTCATGTCACTGCTGAAAATGTCCTCAACTCCAGATTGCCACAAGCTCCTTTAACAGGCCCCCACACTTCACCCAAGTGACAACAATGTGGAGTTGTGTCATTTTCTCCTGAGATTTCTCAGGAGGCTGGAATAATATAGTCACAGTGTGAATCCTCCCATGTTTTGCTTCTTTCACTCAGTCACAATACTGCAATTCATTAATTGTGTTAGCTGTCAAATCAGCACATGAACACAGAAAGAAAATATTGTATGTACACAGAAGAGTGTTTCTTAGGTAAAAGCATAAAATCCTGAGCAACATCTGCACCCCACGCCATGCAGCTGGGGGAGGGTGGTACTCAACCAAATGCAGCTCATGGTTTCCAGCTCCAGGACAAGGACAGGACTTCATAAACACGTCCACACCAACCAGGACTGGCAATAGGCAGCTGGGCACTATTAGGACTGCTTTGTGATGAGAGAACATGGTCCTTTTAAGTTCCATGGAAGACTGAGTGGGACTAGGACCCACACACAGGCTTGGGGCAATGGGATCTAAGGGGAAAACACAGTCCCACATGCCAGGGACCTTGTGGAACCAGGCAGACATGTACTACTATGGTGAGCAACTATATGGTGTGGTATGGGAGACACACACACACACAGAATGGTTTATGTCCCATGGACAGAGGCATATCTGAAGAGATGGAAGAGGTGATAAGTGAAAGGGGTGGGCAGTTTAAATGCCACCTCGGGCTGTGGTAATGTCTGGGCCTGGGCTGCTACTGGGGCCCAGGTCTGGGTTCATGGCTCTGATGCAGCCATGGACGCTTTTGATGTCCCTGGGTCTTGATACCACCAAAGGCAGAGAGGATAGGGCTGTAACAAGTTGTCCCTGCCCTCACTGGCTGAGGACTCAGGAGAGAGGCTCCTACACCTCACCTGGGCAGCTCTCTAGAGTTTACTCTGTAGATAGGGGCTCAGGTGAGCCAGTCCTGAGGACATGATTGGGGCATAGCTGGTACAAATTCCCTCATCTGTGGTGTGGTGTTGGGAGTGAGGAACAGACACCCTCCTCCTTCATCCCTATCACCTCTAGCAGGTAAGTGAATTGGCCTTCCCTTTACCAGCTGCAGCACTTGGGAAAGTGGCCCCTGCACCCTGTCTGGGCAGCACAGTGGAGCTGACCCTGTTTACAGTGGCACAGGTGCACTAAACAGAGTGAGCATGAGCATGAGAGATCTAGCCCCGCCCCTCATCTGACACATGGTGGTATGGGAAGGAAGAGATGCCCTCTCTGACCCCTCTGTGCCTGAGGTGGGTGGGAGAGCTGGCCCTGAGGTTGTAAGAGTGGGAGAGCTGCACCTGCTCCTCACCAGCTGCAGCACTCAGGAGAACAGGCCCTGTACATCCCCTGGGCAGGTGAGTAGGGTCAACTCTTGGTGGAGGTGTGGGTGAACTAGGTCTGAAATTGTGAACTTGTGAGAGTGGTCCCTACTACCTGTCTGTCATGTGGCACCATGGGATGTAATATAGGAAATGACAACCAACACTAAGGACTGTTTGAGGGCTTCTATGGAAACCTACTATGATAAGAGCTTCTTAAAATATATACACATATGAAAGAAGCCTCAGCGGAGTCACCAAATAATGGGGGAAACAATGCCCCAACTAGATATCTTCACTACTATTGTCAACCTTCTAGTTACAGGACAGGGTTACATCTAATCAAACCCCCCAAAAGTTAAGGTTATTGCCAATCCTATTGGTTGTTGTCCACAATCTGTTGGCAAAGCACTATTGCTAATGTGCTAATACATATCTTACTGAACATGGAGAAGATGAGTGGGTGCTTTCACCACTGCTGACTAGTTTTCAGGATATTAGAAAACTTTTTCATAAGCCAGAGGAGAAATGTAATCACCAATCCTTTTATATTCTTTACCCTTGACAAGGTTCAACCTTTGCTTAATCACTCCTATCTGGGAATTGGTAAGTATTGTTGGCTGTGCCTGAATCCTTGATCTCATTGCTACATAGATTTACGAACCAGTCAGACCATCAGCCCAACAGCGGAAAAAAATTGTACCTGGGTAAAGTCTATGTTAACACTGGGGGACTACTGGGAGCTGGAAACTGCCTGGTGTTCGGGGCCTTTGACCTACAAGACTCACTTTACTTTGATGCTTCTATTCCTCACTCCTGGTCAATTATCATCATCAGGAATACTTTATGGCCTCTGAGACCACTTGGTGGGCATGCCCAAATGGTGTACCTAAATTTCCATTTTCCAAGGCATTCCAAGAAATCCCTCCTGTGTGTGCTAGTGCACATCCTGCCCCAGGTGTAACTATATGGTGAGAAGAAGAGAGAGCACACTTTGAGATGAACCACAGGCTTTAAGGCTCAAGAAGTGAGGGACATCTCTCCCCATTCCACTTCTGGTTGGAGCCTATATTGCTCAGGCAATTGCCATAGGGATATTAATCCTTACAGACAGTGATCAAACTTTAGGGCATTCAGTAAACAAGTGGACCAGGATTGTCATATTTAGGATGTCTATTGCTGTGAAGAGACACCATGACTATGGCAACTCTTTTTAAGCCAAACATTTAAGTAGGGCCGGCTTGTAGTTCAGACATTTAGTCATTATCATCATGGTGGGAAACATGGCAACATACAAGCAGACATAGTGCTGGAGAAGCAACTAGGAGTTCTACATCTTGGTCTGTAGGCAGCAGAGGGAGACACTGTGCCACACTGGGTATAGCCTTAGCATAAAAGAAGTTAAAGCCTGCTTCCACAGTGACACACTTCCTCAAACAAGGACACACCTTCTAATAGTGCCATTACCTATAGGGGGCATTCACACACATGAGTCTCTGGGGGTCATAACCACCACAAGGACTTAGGGATATTAGAAGGTACCAAATCCAGATTAGGATAAAAAGTAGACTCTTTAGTAGAATCAATTCTAAAAGCCTAAGGAGCCTTAGCTCTTCCCTTCATGAAACCAGTAGGGTTATGTATAGCTTCTGGACAAACTGGTTTCCATTTCAACCAGTCAGTGAGAGGGCTCTCTGCATATGAATTGTGAGAGAAAATGTGGATTTCTTCTGTAAGAAGGAATCCTCAGGAAAACACACTGCTAATGATTTTTTTGTTCTCAGTTAAACATAGGGTGATGTAGGGGTAGAGAATTGAGGAAGGAATGGGGCAGGAGGAGAGATGTGGGGAGAAAAATAAGGACATCTCAGATCCAAGAGCCACCTGGTCAGAAGGATAAGACAGAACTTCAAACTGATTCCATTGTTCTGGCTCTCTAAAAATAAATGCTATGAGAAAATGCCTGGAAGGCAGGATTTTTCTCTGGATTCAAAGATTCAACAAAACACACTTTGAAGATCCAGTCTCTGGATTTTGACAATGTTTAGGCAGCAGGGCTGCTTGCAACTTATGTGTTTATATTCAAGTGGTGATGACCTCCAAATTTAATAGTTTTAACATATGGCCATTTTTTTCTAAAGAAAATTACCCTTCCATTTTGCATGTCCTGTTTTTCATTAGATTAGGACTCAACAAACACAGCACAGATTAGTTTAGGAACATGAGGTGTGTTCTACACAGAAAGAAGACATAGGTTTGCTTCAGCGGCTTTATCCTGAGCCAGAGGGCGATGTTGCACAGATTAGCTGCTTCCATATCTGCAGTTGATCCCCACTTCCACTCAGTTGCTCACTGTATCTGGGTGAGTTCTTAGAACATCTGATAAGTGAAGAAGTGAAAATAGCCAGACGCCAGAAAGTTCCCAGTACCAGGGCCACTTCTACAGGCTTATTTTAGAATTTTTTCTAAAAGTGGAAGGTGTCTAGTC